ATCTGTGCATATGGTTAAAATCCCACCTTCATGCTGTGATCTGTAGCTCCCCATTTCTAGCTCTATGACTATTAACAGAGCACAATTCTACTTCATACTTGACTTGAAATGGTATACTAATGAATCAGAAGTGTCATTTTTAAAAACTACAGTATAAAGTTGAATTCTTCATGAACATACAAAAGCAAATGAATGGTGGCTGTAGAAGCTGTGTTATCAGTTCAGCACATGCAGCATGGATTTGGGGAATCTGATTTTTAGACTGACTTTGCTTCGGTTCCTGGGATGTGAAAGCCAGGTTAAAAAGAAAAAAGTCATGAAAAGTGCAGCAGTGTGAATGCAGAATAATCTTGCTTTCCGTTTTTCAGAACTTACCTCATTTGATTCACACATCTTATAGAAATTTTCAGATCCTGTGCAAACCTTCTTCTCCTCTCCTATAGTCACAATTCCTGAAATGAAAAGGTCATTGTAAGCTAGATATTTTGGCCTCTCTTTGATTTTCAGAACCCCATACTGTACTTACTGTACATACAGTGCAATGATCATTTGCTAAGATACTGAATGTCAGTGTGTATCAGTCAACACATTGACACTTAACAAACCAGATTCTGGAGTTTAAAGAGATGGAGGCATCTGTGAAAGTTGAAGCAACATTAATACATACCAAACTGACGGAGATCCAGACACAGGTTGGCGCCTTCAGCAATCGTAGTATTCTGGCAGATTGTCCAGATGTTGAAATACATAAAGACTGGCAGTGATGTGAAAGCAGTGACTCCAAGCCAGGCTAGCATGAAGATGTATGTCAGCATGATGAACTGCAAATAATAATTAAAATTACATTATAAACATAATTGTACAAACTGAACAGGATGTAAATTACAATAATAAAATGCAGGCATCAGACACCACATGGAAAATCCATGCCTTCTCCTCAAACAGCAGATGTATACTTTTTGGGTTTTTTTTGTTCCTAAATAAAAAATAAACTTTCTCCATATACTAGAGTTTCAAGTAAATTAAAAATATAATACATATTTGGTTGCACTTTTAACAAGAATAATGTACAGATTTGGTTCAGTCATTCAGCAATTAGAGTTTTAGATTTTGTCAGAATTCCCAGCACAACAGAGAAGCAGTGATTTTTAATTATACACTAAACAGATTGTTTTACTAGCATAATTTGAGCAATTTTAAAGGTGCAAATCTCACCTTCAAGCTATGATATGTAGCATCACTTTTCATTTTTTGCCACTGTTCAGAGAGCAGAAATCTATTTCATACTGTACAGTATATACTTGTACAGTATATACAGTATACTGACAGAAAATAAAGCATAGTTCTTCTCATGTGGACAAGCAAAATACATTTTATGGCATCTAATGAGGTTGTTGTATCCATTTAGTACACGTAGTGCTAAATGGATACATTGCATGACACTCAATTAAGCCTTGATCAAAATAAACTTCTTTGAACAATTATGTCAGTCAGAAAGCACTGCAGGTAATTAATTTAATCAGAACTTAGCAATAGCATTATTATGTTCTTTCTTTGACAGAAATGATATCAAAGCTCACATGAAATTTAAACTTTGTCCCACACACCAATCCGTTATATGACAGGTCTCTCCTGCAGAGACGGCACTGAATACTGTACATTTAAAAGCAGGAAGCTTTGGGTAGTAAGTAATGCAGTGTGAGGTGTCTGCCAGATGGATGTACTGTAAGTGTTTTTAATCAGAGTCTTTAAACAAGAATTGTATTGGCATTGCATGGAGCAGTGCTATACCTTTTTGAACCCAATTAGGATGTCAAATGCCAATAAAATATTCCACCTATTGTACAGTTCTTTGTTGACTCCTGGTATTTACTTGTCAAGATCTGCACCCCTTCTCCCAGAAATGGACAGATATGACAAAACATTGTCAAACAGATGGAAATGGCTGCTTTTCCCCCACATTTATACATGGTCATGGAAGACTTTAGTCTTCTTTCTACACCCCTCCTTCTAAAGTTACCATAATTCTGTCTTAAAGCATTAGAGAATAAGTAATGGCACCAGTGTCTCTGCGTCTGCTAAATGGGTAATCTGATGCTAAATTAAGATGCAGCTTTCTATAACAATGCTAATAACACCAAATGCTGTGAACTAAAATACAAAAGGCCTGTTTCACATATTACACAATATAGTAATAAAGAAGCTTAGATGAAGATAAAAATAAAACCACTGGCGTGATATTTCAATATAAAAAATGGCAACAGTCCTGTTTACAATAAAACGAAATACGATATAGCACAATTGCTTCCAGGGTTGGTATAATTCTGAAAAAAGCTGCCATATCTGTAAATCCATATATCAGGAGAGTCAGTAAAGAGGTCCTGTGCAACCAACCACTGGTGTTTGTAATTAGCGCAGAACCTAATTATTCCCATACACGTAAACTTTCCAGTGGCTTTTCAACAATAGATTAAATGTAATGTTTAAACATGAAACCTAACCAAACCTACACACTGTTGACTTTTTAGAACTGACAGGATGATTTTAAAACAAAAACAAAAGTGAGAAAACTAGAAGGGGGACAACTTTTCCTTTTTAATGTTAAATTAAATGATTCATACATAAGGAAATTATTTTGGGCACGGAAGACAGTATTTATTATCACATTTTCTCTGTGAGATTGCAGCCTTACCCAGGCGCTAACACATCTGCCACATGTGGTGATTTTGAAGTCTCCATAGAGATCTTTAATGGCACCTGTTGTGAAGAAACCCTCCACCATCAGCAGAATCCCATAAACAAAGAAAGCTGCCGCAACACCATAGATGACATACTTGAAGATATCAATCCTGTAGAAAAATGATGACATTTATATTATTATACATAACATCCAACAAAATATATAAATATAAATTTTAACCAACGTCGACTTCAAACGATTTCCTGGTTGAACAAAGTGGACTGTCAGTGCCTTGGTGTAAATGTTTGTAGAAATAAATATTCAAAATCAAGAAATTATGAAGCTTTGAAAATGAGCACCAAAATGAGAAAAGCCAAAGTTATGGAACATTATTTTAAAACAAAAGAGAGAAAAAAAGGGCTGTACAGTAGGTATCACTATACTGTATGTTATCGCTATTTAAAGGATAATCTAAAGACTTTCAAAACTTCACTTTGATTTTCATTGACTGTGCTAGTGTATATGCTGTAGACAAGGAATTCAAGTCCTTGGAGAATGAAGAGTGCTTTCATTGTCATTTTTAATTAAACTAATTATTTGCATGGGAAGTCAGATCACCTGTTCTATTCAGTGCTAAATGAGAGGCTAAATGAAACGTTCATGCAAAACCTGCAGAACTAGTGCCCTCAACGAACGGTAAGTCTTATTATGAAATCCCTACATCCTTATGCTCGCAGATCATAATTACAGTACTGTATATCTGTATTTCAGGTGAGATTACTCACACCTTTGTATGAGTGCTCAGTTTGTTAGTGTAAGGCTTGGAAGGGGTGTGTTGGTCTGTATAAAATATATACAGTATGAGGTATTTTTGACATTATCTTGCAAAAGATAAGATCACTTTATTGGCCATATACTGTACAATTTCTTGTATTAGGAATTTGTCTTTTCGCAAACCCCAGCTTGTTCTCCATGAGACACATGCCATTTATACAGCGCCGCTGGAGCAGTTGGGGTTAAGGGCCTTGCTCTGGGGCCCCAAAAGAGTAGGATTCCTCTGCCGGCCGTGGGATATGGCAACCTTATAGCCACAGGTGCAGATCCTTAGCCACAGAGCCACCACACCGCCCCACACCACACTACTAAAAAGCCCCACTGTACCATTGCGGGTACTCATCACTACTGTGCATGAAATTAAGGGCACATTGTGTGTACAGTACAGGGTGTGCAAGGTTTGTCCCATGCATAGCACACCAGAAACAAGAGTGAGGGTATGGCTTAGTTTCTCAGGTTAATAATAATAATATGTGTGTCATGTGTTGATCACCACCTCACTGCACTAAGCACGTAATAACTGATTGCATATTTATGTATTTGGTACTCTCTAGATGCATACTGTATTACATATAAAGCTCTTTTTAATTAGAAATATGTACACGAGAGAGGTCAAGTGGTTTGATTTTCTCCACACTGTTTACCTGGCAGTTCATTAAAGAGCAGGTCACCACAGGGAATTACAAGTGAATAGTTTTCAGGATAGCACTGTGGCCAATGTGATTTTCAAAGACAGAAATAATCACCAACTAGTGTTTGAAGTGCAGGAAATGACCAGAAATAGGAAATATATCTTTGTAAACAAAGAAGCACTAGAGGCATATTGTTATCAATATATGAAAGCATTTTTCACAGCTCAACTCATTTATATCAAAATAATTCTCTCTGGACCCTGTCAATACCTTATTGGGTAATTCTAGAGTTCAAAATGGATTAACTCAAATAAAGATCTGTACGTTGGTTTAATCAATATTCTAATTGCATTTGGGACTTCCTTTCTCACGTGCTGAAGCGCAGCTGCTGCAGTGAAATACACAAGCCTGATGGAATGACGTAACGTGCTTCAAATAACAGGTACTGAACAGACACTGTATTGCTACTGTATTTGATAGAACAATTGTACAATGTGCTGATTTTGTGCTCACACATTAAATAAGGGTGGCACTTTTAAAATAAATTAGTCAGGAGGATTTTGTTAAAAGCGTTGGCAACATATTCCCAAATCAATAGCAGTTATTTAGATTGGCATTAGTCTGATCAAAATAAATGCATAACCAGCATTTATTTTCCAGGTTCTAAAGGCATGCTGGGAGTACCTGATTGGCTACTTTAAACTGTTTCTTACAGGGTTCAGTTCCCAGTACTCTGGTACAGTACTGCATTAAGATCTGGGATTGACTATCAGCCCTAACTATGAGGTCAGCTCATTTAATATTTGCAAAAATAAATCATGAATGGGAATTTCAAAAGCAACTTGTGGGTGCAGCTCTTCTTAAGAAGCAGAAGGTACAGTACCTGTCCATTGATTGTTATTGCTAGTGTCAAAGCTTGGTTAATTGTGTATTAACATTTGCTGTGTTGCTTGCTGTGCTTCTGCGCTGTGTGCTGCAATTTTCAAATGTAATGATTTATTGAGAAAGAGGCAGGACAGTGGCTGAACCGCTTTGTCCAGTTCAGTCATTTGTTGTAGAAACGTGTATTGTGTTGACCAGTTGTTTTTTTTTAAAGTGCAGTACAGTATGGTAAACTACTGTAACTGACTGTTGTCAGCTCAACCTTTGAATTTTGAGTGGGCCAAATTATAAACATAATCCACCGAGCCACTGTTAAAAGCACAGGCCACGCTCGTAAAGAACCCACACCAATGGCTATTTCAGGCTAATTCAATCTGATGAACTGCATAGTCTGGTGCTTTTCTGTCAGCACATGTGGTTGGGAGATAGAGAGAAAAGTGGAGAACTGCGGAAAACAGCTTCATGATCGACAGGATGACAGCAGATGTGACTGAAATGAAATAAAAGTACCGAACTAATACAGATTTTTCCCTCAATCAAAAGCTTTTCTGCTAGTTCATTTTTTCACCTTATTGTTTTCTTTCTTTCTACCCAGAGGCAAGAAAACATCAAAGCAGGGAGGGAAAATGTCCTGTTTTTATTTCCTTTGACTTTTCTTTGGTGACAGTTTCTGTCTCTCCCTGTGATAGGTCTTGACACTATAAGGAAACATCACCTCACATGGGTATCTGGCCCTACACATGAAACTGGTGACTGCTGAGATGGGGAAAGAGGAGGCTTGTCCTGGGAATTCGAGGACACCACGTCCTGTATGCTTTTTAACAAACAAATACTTACATAGTGAAGACATCTAAGGTGTCCACAGGAGATCTTACCACCTCAAAGTAGTTCTGCAGTATGGTGACTGTTCCTGAGAGGGCTTCATGCCCACAGCCACAGAACAGAGCCACTCCAGCATAAAGCAGAATAGTGGCAATCAGAGATGCATATGGAATGCCACCCAAGCATTTAATGCAGCATTCAAAACACCCTGAAAAGAAAAGAGAAATCCATTGTACTCGGAGCCACTTCATAACGGATGCACATAAACGCTACATTTATCGGTTCAGCAGAAGGTGCAGAACTGCCAAATGTTAATGTATGCTGGCGGATGTATTGTTTTAATATAACCAAGCTTGTGCTTGAAAAGCCAGCTGTGAAGAGAACAATATGCATCAGTGAGCAAGACTGATTGTTAAGGGCAGGCAGGGGTTTCTGGTCTGTAATGAAGAGTACACAAACCAAACAAAATACAAATACACAAAATACCACAAAGCAAACAAAAAAACCCATGACAACACAGGAACCTCATGAATAATAAGATATGCTAAGATAACAGATTTATACAAATTGTTCATATTAAATCCAATAATATAAACAATTATATTAATAAATAACAACAAACATGTTCATTTACTGCAACACACTTTCAGTATGCATCTGTATTAAAATTAAAAGAATAATAATACATTGTCTCACATTAGTACTAAGAAATGTACAGCACATTTTGTTGTCCATTTTGTTGTATTCAGCTAGTTTTTAAATTCACTTTGAACAACAGCACTATTTATTATACAGTAGTGTATCACATGGCAATGTTCCTTGGAAACAGGAGGCACCGCTGGTTGAAAGTCAGAATGTTAATTTCACTTTCACACCAGAGCCAGGGTCCTGCAGCTCTCTTATTTCCTGCTGCTTACCACAGCCCTAAAAACGCCAACAAAGAAAGCAGTCTCCAGCTTTTGCTACACGGCAACAACAGATTTATTTCGGCAGTAACATTCTTGCACAAGTTTATTTTGTATCACAAAATGCTCACGAAAGCATGTTGATCTACTGACTGTGTCATTAAATTTTTAAGTCCTGCTGAGCATTTCCATACTGTTTATATTTGTTTTGTTTGTACGGTAGTTCGGTTTATCATAAATATTAACTATATACTAATTCTTTTGTTCTATTATACATTTCCTCCACTATGTTGACCAAACAGGCCAACATCAGAATGTGCTCATCTGGTGGCAGCAGAAATGATGATGCAGCACGGAAATATCTGTAAACACCTGAAGGCTTGTTTCGAGTGTATACATTTGATTTCAACATCTGCTCCCATAGTGTTCAAGTGGGGGAAGAAACCAACATAAAACACCCTGAAAACAAGACAGAAATCTAGCGCATTCAGAATCACTTCATATTCCTGTTCATGTAGTGTAAGAACTATAGTTACTTTCTTTTAAATAAAGCTACAAATATAATTATTTTAATGCACAGCTTTATGAAAATTATATGGTAAACTGAAGTGCTATTGCCCAGAACATACAGTACACTAGAACACAAAACACTGATCCAATGTTTACATGTAAAATAACATGAATGGATATGATGTTCTAGCAAAAGAACGAAATTTAAGAACAGCACTATTGATCTTCAGTGTAATGTATTTAAAAATCAATGTGAACACTGCAACTATTCATAAAGCATTATCCCATCACAAGATGTTGCCCTTGTTTTTTTTAGTCTAAAAAAACCTTTATATACTGTAATATTTACAAATATAATATTTTCAAGAAGCATTCATATTCTGCATCCTGAGGGGTTTATTTACAAATAAGCACTCTTTACATTTATAAATAAAAGATGAGTTATTGTGTCAGTAAATTGTTTGTGATGGAGGATCCTATTAATTATTTTTAACACTTGCATTGCCAGACCTTAAGAACACAAGAGGTTTGCACACATGTGGAGGCTGTTTGGGCCCATGCAGATCATTCAGGAGATTATACTGTAGCTAACTGATTCAAGGATGTCATCTACTATAGCTGTTTCTTGAAAGATGTCAGGGTATGGGCATCCATGACATGGCGGGGCAACTTGTCAAATACTCCCACAACCTATTGGGTGAAGAAGGGTCTCCTGTTCTGCATTTTAAACCCAATTTCCCTTAGTTTCTGTGCATTCTCTCTGATTTGTGTTTCACTTGATTCTGAGGAAGTACTGTATGCTGACTTTGTCAAAGCCACTGAGGGTTTTGAATACGTGTATTACGTCTCCTTATAGTTTCCTTAAAAAGACCTTTCAGCCTGTCAGCGTGGAGCATTCCTTTTAACTGAGCAATGTACTGTATCTGGATGCGCTCCTCTGAACCAAAAGATAAGTCCAGAGCAACAATATCTGAGGCATATGATAGAGACCAAAACTGTACACAATATTTTAAATGGGGTCTTACTAGTGTTTTCTACAATTGAAATGTAACACAGCTTCACATTTCTATTCCAAAATTCTGAATTTTTAACTATATGAAACATACATTTTGCATTTTTTATTGCTTCTCCCCATATTATTTAACTTTGTCTTTTCTCAGCCTGAGGCATATTGCTGTTTCCTCCTTGGTCCTAACCAGGGTGAAATATTCATTTAATACATCAGTTATTTCCCTTTTATCATCTAAGCATTTCTCATTTTCATATGAATATCCCATAACATTTCCTTAAACCGTAAACATCTGCCTGCAGTTTATTTTCTGTAACTGAATTATGGTCTTTTTTAAAATGATTTTAAATAGTGTTTTCATTCTCTGGGTACTTGATTTATTCATCCCCAAGGGGCCACTGATCTCCCAGCTGTAAACTGCTACCATCCATTTCTGGTTATGCTTTCCACTCTGCAATTCTACATGAGGATTTTTTGGCAGATATGGTCAATTTAAAACTGCATTATCTATCCGATACTCCTGCCCTTGGATCGTGATATAGGAATGTTCTGTCTTATCATCAAGCAAGTCAGGGCACTCTTTGCAGCAGTACACAGCAAATGCCGGAACCACTTGTCACCTGGAATAATCACAGACAGCAAAGCCGCACAATCCAACCAGCAGTGCCTCTCATTCCCAATTTCTCTTTTGTGCAGTTGCCAGATGAAGAAATCACCTCTTTGTGAGTCTGCTTGTGACACCAATCCTTTTGTATAAAAATGAAAAAGCCTCTATTCTTTTAATCTGTGGATTGCGTCTAATGCCAAGAATCTGGTCACTTAGTTGCATACTAACTACCCAGGATCTTTCAACCATTCAAAACTCCTACAGCCGTCTGTACTGTTTGTCAGTTTAAAGAAAACAGACTGACTGGGTTTACATCTCCTTTTTAGCTCTCCTCGTTTTAACAATGCTGAAAACATGTAAGTCTTTAATTTCCATTGTTCACCTACAGACCTATGAACAACCATATCCTCATCCTTACAGTACATGCTGCAGAATGTGCCATTTTATTGTAACAGTTGTCTGTCATGCATTTGCACTGATTTTTTAGCACAAAGCAATAAAACAACAGAAAATTGAGAAAAAGACACAGTGTTAGATTACATTAAGTCGCGGTCTGTTTTAGCTATGAAAGTATTTTTTCAAAGAAACCTTATTTTTCTATGGTCCATACCAGATATGGGCAATTCTGGTGCTCAGAATCTTAAGAAAGTGACTTGATTTCCCATCCAATCCATTCAACTCAAAAATGAAGACTGAAGACTGCATCTGGTTCCTACATCGTCTGGAATTATTGTGTGCCCACTTCATCTAAAACACTTGAGACAGTGCCACTGCACACTTGGAGATCAAAACCCCCTACTCTCTAACAAGCAATACAATCAGTTTCCTAGATAAGCCATTAAAACTGCAAGGCACAAAAAACCACGAAGAGATGCAATTTCAGAGTAGAACTTCAATACCTGAAATGAGTTTTTTTGTGTATTTCCCACAAAAGACACCTTCCGTAGTGATTGTTTCTACATTTTTCTAAGACGGCTTGGCAGATATCTGTTGTGAGTACTCAAGTTAAGAAAGGGGAAAAATCAGTAGAATTAGGAAACTAATCTTTGATATTTTCCATTGTTAAGACTAAATGAGAGAATCAAACCCAAATTCCAGGATTGTAGGTCCAATATTATTAGCTGCACAATAACGATACAATATACAGTGATATTATTATATTAGGATCATACTGGGATTCCTGTACTATAACATTAATTTTGTAATGTATTTAAACTTATACTGACTGCATTGTTTGTAGCATATGGCTGCATTGTTTGTAGCATATGGTATAATACTATCTTTTGTAGTTTACATTTTGCATACTTGTGGAGAAAAACAACTTTTTTGTACTTATCAGTGAGAAGGTTAGAGGTTATATTTCTTATAAATTCATGTACTACAACACTGCAGGTATATATCTGTGAGGATGGATGGAACTTTCATAAAAATATAATTGGTCGAACAGAATAAAGGTTCTGCTGACTCTCAACTCCTCCTTCAACAAGCTGTGTTATAAAATATGAAAAGCATCCTAATGAGAAACAATTTACCTTGTAGTGTGGCTATGTAGAATTACAGGAATAGTGCAAAGAGACAATGTGTACAGTGCATACTGTGTAGATTAACACACTATTCACTTGAATATGTACAGTATATACTGTATGTAATACTGCCATAAACATTTTTTTATTTGATTTGGGGATTAAACGTTATCTTTCTTATAGCTAAAAAAGTGTAATAGATACCAAATTAAACATTTGTTCTAATCCAAAGCATTGTCTTTTGAATAATTTGCCTATTCTATACTCGTAACATATTGCTAAACGGTAGGTATAGTAGCTCAATTGCACAATTAGCATTTTCCTGCATATTGTCTTTGGTTTCGTGTTAAAGCTGCTGTCAAAGACACACCCTTAATGAGTCATTATTGACTTTCATACAGAATAACAGCAACTATTAAATGAACACATATTGTGCATATTGGTACTTTTCATTCTGATACATTAATTCTGAAGCGTAAGACATTTGCACAGCTAACATTCATTTTCACTTCAATGTGCTTGGGAATGCACCCAGCCCTGGTTCGCAAATATGAATTATTTTTATTTCTCATCATCATGGAGCTCAAATGTGGTATAATCATTTTAAAAAAACCATGATAGGCACTATAATACGACAAATACGGGACTGTTGAA